TAATTTTAAAGTCATTTGTGATTGCTTGTTTGTAAATTAAAACAGAAATGTTTGAAGATAAGATATTGTATAATTGCAGATACGATTGCAGTATTATGTTCTTACATTCAAGAAATATTGAAAAAAATGATAATTGTGAGGCATATATATCTACTGTTAACGAATAAGTAATTAGGACTTTCTGTATAATACCAGTAATAACAATTTAGGGTCACTGTCATCAAACTCAATTAACTTAACTGGGCCAATTAATCCATCGGAATTGACCAATCTGTCAATTCTTCAAATAAAATGACAAATGCGATTGGTCAATTCCGATGGATTAACTGGCCTAGTTAGATCAACTGAGCTTGGTGACACAGTGGCCTTAAGCCTTGTGTCCACGATGCTAGAAATTGGTCCGAGATCTCGGAGAGAGAAAGAATTAACCAATCACATTTAAACAATTTAGTCACATGATCAATGCGATTGGTCAATTCTTTCTTCATCCGAGATCTCGGACGGATTTCTAGCATCGTGGACACTGAGCTTTAGTCAGCATGGACACTGTTCAAGAGCAAAAATGATAGAGTGAGATAGAATGATAGGATAAAATGAAATAGAAACATGTCACTAATACTATAAATGGTTGCCAAGTCGTGTGATTGCAACAGCGAATCGGAATGCGTAACACCGGTTGCGCCTCTCTGATAAATCTAGGACTCTATCCATGCTGACAAATGCTGGATTCACACTGCATCCGATTTTCTTTTTTTTTACGCTCTGCATCCAATCAGAAAACAGGATTCCGATAATACGAAGCAAAATTCATCGGAATCCTGTTTTCTGATTGGTTGCAGAACGTCGTACGACAAAAATCGGATGCAATGTGAATCCAGCATAAGGTTGTGTTCAGCAGAACGTTTGTTTTGCAACTGTTGGAAGTTTTTTTCGCGCTGATTGGATCATACTTGTACATCTAGAAGAATGGTCCTATCTCAACAGACAATTATAAAACGGTTGCAAAACTGTTGAGTCTGCTGAACGCAGCCTAAAGGTCATCACACGTATAAAAATTTTAGTCGTAATCATAAGGCCGTAAGCAAATCGGCCAATCACAGTCGAGTGTTTAAAAACTCGATCTCAATTTTGATTGTGATTGGTCGATTCGTTTGCGACCTTACGATTCCCACTAAAATTTTTGTACGTATGATGACCTTAAGGGCTATGATATATCACTGATATGAAACAACGATAATAAAGATTTTATCGATAATAATTATACTATTATTTTTTTACAGTCTAGGAATTACAAATCTATATGCAAATCACTTTAATATTATTAATAGTAGTATATAAATCTTTTATATAAAATACGTGATATTTAAAAAGAAAAAATGCGATTTTTTATAAATAAACTGTATTTTTAATTGTTTATGTTAAAATAAAATGCAATTAAGTATATGAAGACACTTTGATAAATGAATATTAGCAATATTATCAAGAATATTAGCAAGAATAGAAATACGAAAAACGGTATTCGCTTCGCGATTTACATTTCCTGTGTTTTCCCTGATAAAAAAAGTTGATAGAGAACGATTGAGAACGATAGGATTTCTATTAATTTGTATAGTTTTTTATAAATTAATTATATCACTTTCTATCGTTGAACTCGCGAGCATTACGATTGATCGAATATGAGTCCTATCATATTTTATGAAATTTGTACAAAATTCCTACAAGATCTGATTCAAGAATCAGATTCCATATTCAAAACGATAGGATTTTTCTATCGTTTTCTATCAACTTTTTTTACCAGGGTTTTTTTTTCATTTGTACTCTTATATCTTTTATGCCTATTGAACATTGGACGCGATGAGTGATGAGCGACATCCAATGAGAGCTCTGTTTTATATCGTTAGATGCGAAAAAGTAGAGCTTTTATTAGATATCACTTGTTGCTTATCGCACCCTGTATGCAAGAACCATTATTAAGTTTCCTCGCGCGCGATATATAAAGTATTTACAATATCTTATATATTTTCCTCATTTCTTCCGATTCCGCAAATTTCGAGTTGGCAAAAGCGTTGCAGTAGGTTCAATATCCGCAAACGAATCATTCTCGAGGAACAGTTTCTTTCTACGAGTACATCTTTTCTCGGTTGACGTTTCCGGCGGTGGTAAAGTGATATTTCTCGTGCTGCGCTTTGATTCGGATCCGGACAATTCAATAATCGGTATATTTTCTTGCTTGACAGATGAGGCAGTCTTCTTTCCTCGCCGTTTGGTTTGACGAGCCGAAATTTCTTCCTCCGACGTGCTATCGTAATTGTTTTTGGCCTTTGTATTAATTTCGCATTTCTGTAATCTATCTTGAAGCACTTCTATACGATTCTGTAACTTTTTGTAATCATCCTTATTCGGTGTCGGCGTGAATTGCCGACGGAATAATTCCTGATATCTCATTACCTCCCTCTTCTGCATGTCCAAATCTTCCTGTTGGTTTTTAACAAGAGTTTCGTACTTGGTCACCGTTTCATCTCGATTCTTCATGAATGCGTCCATCTCGTGTTCCTTCTGTGTTAAACTAATTCTTAGCTCGCTGTTTATATTTCGTAACCGTTCATTTTCAACCTGCCACTCCTTCGCGTTCTGTTCGAGTAAATTAAATATCTTCGCATTTTTCTCGAAATTTTCTAAATGTATTTTCAACTCTTTTATATGTTGCTCCTTCTGGAAAAGCGTTTCTTTCGTCTGCGTCAATTCATTTATAGCACATTTCAATTCCGCTTCCATCACATTGTCAGTCCTCTCAATTTTCTGAATCATATGTTTTAATTCCTTTTGTAGAGTTGTGATCTCAGTATCTTTTTCCTGTTCCTTGAGAGTGGTTTCCTTCAACTGACTTTCAAGTTTTAACAATGTCTTATTATTCTCATCAAGTGTTTCTTGTATACTGTTTTTCTCTACTTGACAAGTTTCCAAATTTTTATTTAATTCATCGATGTCATGCTTTAGTTTCTCAATAGTTTCCAGACTATTTTCCAATTGAGATATCTTTTCTACATACTCATCTAACTGATTTACATTCATATTATTTGTATTATCTTCTTTTTTTATTGAAATAAATTCGTCTGATTTGCATACATTTATCTCCTTTTCTTCTTTACACTTTAACATACAGTTATCTAATTCTTTCTGAGCAGTTTCCAGTTTCTCCAAATACTGTTGAGTATTATCTTTTGCAATTGAAAGATCCTTTTCTAGTTGATCGACTTTACATTCGTAGTTTGCAATTTTTTGTTTGTAAGCCATGTCGGAGTTCTGCAGAATCTCTTCTATCTTTTGTTTTTCTTCCACAGCGAGTGTTAATTGCTTTTCAAGTACTTCCGTAGAATTTTTATATTCCTCTATGATAGTTTTATTTGAACAATTTTCCTCTCTTATAATCTGCAATGTCTTTTTCATTTCGTTTAGCTCTTCAGTTAACTCCTTAACTTGCGAACATTTCTGTTCGTATTGTACGTGAACATCATTAATTTGCATCAATGCATTCAATTCTGATTTTAGACTGTCATCCAGAATTTCATCAGTCTGAACAGCTTCTTCTTTTAACAACATTTTGCTACTAGATTGAACATCTTCTAATGTTGTTATTGTTACAGCAGGCTGAGTATTTTCTTCCAACTTATTTTTAATGTCATTATAATCCTCATCATTTGTTATATTTAATTGGCAACATGTGTCCACTAATATGTGTTTAGGAAGTATCTTTTCTGTAGGATTCAAATTATTTGAATCAGTTTCTTTAATTTCATTAATAGATACTTTTGCATTTTCTATTTTTGCTTTCATATCTTTTCTTACGTTCATATTTGAATCTTCTGATGTGTCATCAGTAATTAGTTCTTTTATAATCTCTTGATATTTATTTTTAATAAATGTCTTGGAGTTTAGTTTTTCTTCATAAGACTTAATTAACGCTAATTTTTCATCCTTCAATTTATTAGTTTCTTCTTGTAACTGTAAAATTTTATTTTCGTTTTGATGTTCAAGTCTATCTTCTAGAAGTTCCACTATTCTCGTTTTCTCCGTCAAGCAAACATTAACATCTTCAAGATGTAATTCTAAATCTTCAATTTTTTCTTCATTTTCTATCATAACTTTTGCTTGTTCATCAATGCAAAGTTCTTTCTTTTTCAAATCATACGTAATTGCAATGTACTCTTCTTTCGCTTCATTAAGAATTTCTTTGAGCTTTTTGATTTGTTCGTCTTTAATAAGTAATTGCGATGTCACTTCCTTTATATAAATTTTACCATTTTGAGTAGAGCAAATATCTTCTTGAGCAGCTTCTAGAAGATTTTTTGCAATTTTTAAGTCCTCCTTCGACAGTCCTAACTCAAAAGAAGCTTTGTTTTTTTCCACAATTAAAGTTTCGTTTATTACTTTCAGTTCAGTTAATGTTTTCTTTAAAGTGTCATTCTTCTCTCTCAATTGTGTATTTTCTTTAATTAGTTCTTTAATAGTTAAATTAATATCATCTTCATCTCTATCATCAGTACATTCACTGCGTCTTCTTTTCTTACTATGCAATTGATTTAACTTTCTCTTGTAAAATTCTTCAACTTGTTTCACGGTCCATTCGAGGGCATCTTCGTGTTGGATCTCGACATCATTTATACGTTGTTTCCAATCAACTTCAAGCTCGTTTATCATCATAATATATTTTTCGGCCATCTCTTGTCGGCTTTGAAAATCTCGAATTAAAGCTGAATTCTTTAAAAGAGTAATCTCCTTTTTCAATTTTTCATTTTCATTTGTAAGATCCATGTATTCTTCCGAAGTAATGTATTCTTCCGAATCATCCTCCTTCACACTATTTGTAGGTTGCCAATCCGCTGTTCCCAATTCTGTACTATCCCAATCAGTCACAGTCTGTATACTTTGTGTGACTATTTGCGAAAATCTTGATTTCGATTGCTTCTGTATTCGTTTCTTTCTTTCTATAACAATTCTTTTTGCAATAGCAGCGAAATTTAAAACATTCTGAGTCTCTACATAAAGATTAGGTAGAGGATTGACATTAACTATCAAAGCTAGATGCTCTTTTCCCGATAGAGCTCGTTGGAATAATCTGGTTAATTTAGATTCTCTGAATGGTCCTACTGTATCTGTTTTCGTTCTAGTTAATTGTCCCTCATGAATGGATTTCAAGCATCTGCCTAATACTAATAAACTAGTGTTAATATTTTGTGCTTCTTTCAATCTATCTCCTATATTTAATGTTTTCTTCAAACGTTCCGAACCCGCTAGATCGCAAAAGGAAAACCTATTGAAATATCAAAGTAATATTAGTATTGTGATGACTTAAAGAAATTGATGTAATAAATTTTAGTTCCTTTATAATAACGTATAATAAATCAACCTAACTAAGACTCCTTATAAATCAAAAAACAATGAAAGAACAAGGGCAGTAGGAGTCAAGCGCGGGAGATGTTGCGCAAATTTTGATACATTAGTTTTACATTTTCTTTATTTCGAGAATTTCAAAATTTCTTTCCCCCCTTTTTTCTTTTTTACTGCATTCTTATCTGGATTTAATTCTGGTATTTATACTCTCGAGGTGAGGAAGATCACCATGACTAGTTAATAATTGTTATATTCTATGTATGTGAATTTATTAGTTATCTCTGAAGAAGGCTCAAAAATGAGCCGAAACATGTAAGCGCTTTAGTAAAATAAAGAAGTTTCACGCTACGATAGTCGTATTATTTGCGCAACATCTCCCGCGCTTGACTCCTACTGTCCTTGTTCTTTCATTGTTTTTCCTTTATAATTATATAAAACAAAAATAAGTATACAAAAATAATTACTAAATTTTGATATTTTATTAAGAATAAATACTAATGGAGAATATATCACATATATGAATTAATATAAAATATTAGAAAGGGAGAGAAAAATACGTACGTGCTCATTTCAACTGTATCAGGTAAATTTTCTGCATAATATTTTAACAGTATAATTGTAAATATACAATGAGACCTTGAACTTTTTGCATTTAACGCTGTTGCTGCTACTTTTAAATTATATTGCCCTGCCATTAAGATCTGATAAGCTTCTGCTGCTGAATTAACATAAATAGTCTTTAAACCTTTAATAAATGCTCTGCCATTAGAATCTGCTCCTAATTTTAAAGGCACTCTTTTTTTCTGACATTCACTTGATAATAAATCATATACAATTTCATTATAGATTTCTGCAAATGAAACCCAAACAGAGTAATGAGCATCATAGCATTGGCTAGGGCGAATTGATTCCTCTTGTAGCAATTTTTGCATTTGTTTGTAAGTATTCATATACTGATGTTTTTCCATGGAACTGAATGTTAGCAATTTAGTTTTTGCTTCAAGTTCCTGTGCACGTTCAAGTGCGTTAAGATTAATTACATCACTATAATGTAAAGGTTTGTAAAATGGATTTGGTCTTGTTGTGATATTGTTAAACACAAACTCCAGTGCTCGTGGTATAAGTCCAGGTGAAGTACTGGTCCCTTGCAATGTATACGATTTTCCTGAATTTGTAGTACCTACAAAATTAAATTGCCACTAAATATTCTGTGTATGTATATGCAAGTGTCAGTGTATATAAGTTTGTGTGCGAGCGTGTGCATGTGTGTGTACGCGCCAGAGTGACACACACACACACACACGCACGCACGCACGCACGCACGCACGCACACGCGCGCACACACACACACACACACACACACACACACACACACACA